AACAGATATGTATATTTTGTTAAAACTACTTTAGACTGTCTCAGTGCCAAGTACTCAATTTAAATATTTTGTTGATATTTTTAAATTTCACTTTATTTTAGTAGTGAAAAAGTGACTTTAGTGACTATTTTTAGGGAAATAGTGACTTTAGTGACTTTTTGGTGTAAAAAGTGGCTTTTTAGTGACTGGCTTCAAAATAGTGACTAAAAAGTGACCTGCTACCAGGCCTGAAATTAAATTATTAGGTAATTTTTTAATAATCCCAAGAAAATTATGATGAGAATTCAACAAGACACAGAGTTCTAAGAGTGTTCTGGCGATTATTTAAACCCTAGTGTGAAAGATTTGTCAAAGAGCTGCAACAGAATTTATTGCAAAAAATTGCTAATAATTAGAAAGAAATTCTTTAAAATACTCCAAGGGGTTTCTAAATACTAAAGTAATTCCAAATTTCGAAAAATTTATGCTCTTATGAATAGAGTTAAAAGAAAATTTTAAAAAGGATTTCAATGAAATCAAAGTCTCCGAATAGGTTTAGGGAATTCTAAGACGGATTTCAAACAATTTCTTAGAGGGGGTTTCAAGGAATTCAACGGTAATTATTACGCAGAGTACTTTCTGGTTAATTTTAGAAGAATTCTATAATAATTCAGAGCAGGATTCCAAGTTCATTCTGAAATTCATATCATGAGAATTTTGAATAAAATTAAAACCCGGGAAAAGAATAGTTCAGTTTCAGTTTTTGCAAATATTTGTTTCAAAGTCCAGCATCTTCGATGTTTTGTTTACATCTGAAATTGAATCGCAAAAATCAATTTGAAATATTGCTGAGTGATTTAATTCTAAAAACAATAAGGCGGGTATCCGAAGAAAATTATGCAGCAAATAGAGAAAGACATTCATTTGGTAAAAAATCACTCTGTTTTAATGGTTTATTCTGAAATTCTGGTGTGAAAATTTATTCCTATGGTGTGGTTAATTAATTTTTCCCGGTTCTCTCATCGAATTCCCGGGTTTTTCCCGGTTTTCCCGGTTACTTGTCAAATTCCCGGATATTTCCCGGTTCGCTGGTCACCCTGTTTTTACCTGTTCAACAACTTTGAAAACGTTGTTTAGGGTCATGTTTACATTCAATTCAGTTTCAAAAGGCATAGGGTCTTCTAGTTTCACTGATTTGTATCCATTGGAACCAATATTGTTTTGTTTGTTTACGTTTTGGGAGTTGTTGAACAGGTAGATTGAGGTTAGGGCGACGCCACTGGTTACTTAGGACCTAATGCAATGTTCAGCTTGAAATTATTAGAAGGGTTTGCAAGAATTCACTGGTACTTATTACGCGGGTTGTTTTCTGGCTTATTTCAGAACAATTTCAAGATAATTCAGAGCAGAATTCCAAGTTAATTCTGGAATTCATATCGTGAGCATTTAGAACAACGAAAAAATTAAACCATGCAAAAGAATAATTCAGTTTCGGTTTTTACATTTTTTTTTGTTTCCAAGGTCCAGCATCTTCAATATTTTCTTTTAAGGACCAAGCACTTTACATCTGAAATTGAAACGACGAATATCAATTTGCAATATTGCTGAGTGATTAAATTCTAAAAACAATAAGACGGGAAACTGAAGAAAATTATGCAGCAAATAGAGCAAGACAATCATGTGGTAAAGGATCACTCTGTTTTAATGGTTTATTCTGAAATTCTGGTGTAAAAATTTGTTCCTATGGTATGGTTAATTTATTTTCCCGGTTCTCTTTCCGAATTCCCGGGTTTTTCCCGGTTACTTTTCAGATTCCCGGATATTTCCCGTTTTACTGGCCACCCTGTTCCAGTAGTCCAAATGCGGAAAAAAAAATTAATATGTGGTTGCTATGACAATGGTCAACAAGTTTGTTGTTGTACAGTCTGTTTGGCAACAATAAAAGGATAGAAATATGAAAAACGACATAATACGTAAAACAGCAAACAAGGTTATCTTCCATTGAATTCCGCTTAATTAATTTTGGTATCCAATAAGTATTTCGACTACAATGAAACTACAACGTGCAGAATCGGAACCTACCTAACTAATAACCAAAGATTTAAGTAAAGTAAAGGAGAAAAATCTATGCAACTACTCTTTAATAAGGACAATCTCCAAAAGCTTGGTAGATAAAATAGGGTAAATTGACAATTAATTTAATATGTAACAGACAACAATTTCAATTTTATCACAACAAGATGTTTGTTGATCATTGTCATGGCAAGCACATATTTTTTTCAACGTTTGAACAACTAGAACTAAAATTAGAGCGATGTTAGTGAAATTCAATAATTTCCCTCATAATAATTCGCCAAAATCTCCATATAAACTTCAAACCTTTAATAAAACTTTACCATTTTAGCACCTACTCATATTTTGAGGTAATAAATTAAACCCTAGTGTGCATCTGGTGATCTTTAGACTTGCTTTTAACTCTTCTGTCTACTGTCCGAAATATGTGTTTGATTCATCCGATGAGCCAGTAGATTCTCGAAATTCAAATTGTTCTTCTTCCTGACACTCTTAAACGAGCTTATGCCTGCTCACAATTTAGTGCTCTTTAAAGCACTCCCAAGAACTTAATGGAGAGCTTGCTATGCAAACCAATGCACAATGGCCATGGATGTCGAGAAAATTTCCAACCCGGAAATGCCGGAACTTCTTCGACCAAGAAACCAACAATCCCTCAAAATGTATCTAATTGTGCTTTGTCCCATGGAGTCTTGATAGACACATATCCTAGTCATTTAAAGTCGCCTTACTCGTTGAGGATTAATCCTAATAATTCCCATTCAGTTACGTAATTGAACGAACCCGGATTTCGTTCGTCGAAAAATAAGGTGGATAAATTCTTGCAATGGAATCTCCCGTGGCACACGTAGTCTAAAGTAGGGAAGAATGCAACGGATCTCTGATAACGGATAACAACGACCATGACTGCCAAACTACATCCCCATAGACGTCGACGGCAGCGAAAGCTGAAGAATTTCTACTTGGAGTTGACATCAATTGTGTAAAGATCCAGTAGTCAGCGCACTAGGTAGAAGCTATATGCATTCTCTCTCTTCCGAACGTTTTTTTCTGCAACGTTACTCCAAAGAGCACGGTGGAGATAATTTCGTGTCGGAAGAAGTCTATGCACCCGCCGCTTCGAAAGAAAGAAAAGCGAAAAGCAGCATACGTCGTCATCGTCAACGACGTCTACAATGAGCAGGAGTGTAATGAACATGAGGGGCGCAGATGGTCTCTCCCCTGCTTCGTCCCGCACTCAAAGGAAGTACCAGCAGTAGCAGAAGCAGGAACAGACCGCATATCAAAACAAAAACGCTGACGTTCCCATTTTTCTATACATATTCGAGACATCTCAGTCTCACCGCCGCCGCCGCCATAGACCGGCCGCCGCGACGCGAATGCCGATCTAACCGAGGCTATATTAGGTACCTCTATTAGGAGTGGATTCGAGTGGAACGTGGAGCTGCAAAAATATGCAATATGCGGAGCGGCGGAAAGGTGGCTAACCGGAAGGGAGGGAGGGGAAGAGAGCGACTTGCGAGATGCAAAGAAAAGCACGAAATCGGGTGTGGATATCTCCGTGAGCACACGGAACGAATACCGGAGAGTGTGAAACGGGGCAGTGTTGACAGAAAGGATTGCATTTTACTCGTTTGTTTGTCCTTAACTGAATTGGAAAATTGTCCTGGAGGCTGTGAGATTGAGTTCTTCTACTACCTGAATTGATACGGTGATGTTAAAAATTTTGGTCTGTCTTCAAATTAATGTTCTTTTCAGCAATTCAACCGTTATAAATTGATATTACAAAAACAGCGAGTCCAGAAAACCTCAACATGAATCCCAACGTTCCGGAGAATCTCTACGAGAATTCCAGAGAATCCCAATAAGGATTCCAGAGAATCCCAAAAGGGTTTACCAGCTCATTTCAACAGGCTTTTACGGAGAATCTTAACAGCGGGGATTCAGGAAAATGTCAACAGAGATTCCGATGAAGACTGCCAAAACGGATACCGGAGAATACCAAGAACCGTATTGGAAAAGTTCGTGAATTTTCACGTAATTTGCGAGTGATGGTGAGGTTTGCAAACTTATCCGTAACTGCCAAGAACGATACCAGATAATATCAAAAACGATGTTAAGAGAATTTCTGAGAACCTCAAGAGGGATCGCGAAGAATCCAAGCCTAACTATTCAAATCGACGTATCTGACTTTGAAAACAATCACTTCAATTGACGCAATAGCTAGCTGATTCACAGAAATTAACAACACCAGCTGGTAGGGAAAAGATTCCTCTAGGATCTGGTGGGGCAACAGTGCCACCTAAACAATTGCACGTTCTATGACTCCCATGAATTGTATATTTACAGGAGTTTGCAACATTGCCTGCGTCCATAACATTGCCTTCATAATTCAGCAATGCCATGGTAAATAAAATCTCGTCAAAAGTAGGCATGGGAAATAATTTATATTTATTTTGTGCATTCATTTACATTCATTTGCCTCTAACTTTTTTCATCAACAGAATTCCGTAATACGATGTATGATGCTTTTGTGCAAAATTCAATTCTGTATATCTTAAGCATTATTCTATCAATTGTCATTCAATATGTAGTTAGTCGGAGACACTTGAAGACCCAGCTTATTGATTTCGTCCACCATTGTATTAACTGCATATTGTGTCTTGGTAATTGTGTCCTTTAACGTTGAACCTCGTGCAGCCAAAGATATATTGCCTGCAAAAATCGATCCGAATAACGCCAGGAACAGAAGTTTTGAAGACACCATGAAGAAGTCTGCACAATGTAGACAAAACACGCGTATCTGTCAAGGATAAGCTATAAAGGAAGTGGAATTAAATGGAAATTACTAATTCTTCTCTCTTTCTTTATCCACTATAGACGCCCACATTCATCAGGATTTATTATGTACACCAAATTAACAAAAAATATTCAATCTCAGCCTGTACCTCGCTCGGCTGGCATCCCTGTTCGTCTGGCAAGTTTGTCCGCGATGCGAAGAGCAAAATGCCACTCCAGCAGCAGCTCCACTATCTACTTCTTCACTTTTACACCCCGGCTCTTCCTCTGTATCTATTTTCCACCGTGAAGAAACAGCACCTTGTGTACACTTTGATCCTGTATGTCAGCCTCCTTTCCAATGTTTCACTTTTTTCTTCTTATCCAGTAACGTAACCCAGATATATGCTGCACCGTCTTCCTTCCTGTCAGAGGAGTATCTTCTATACACTCCCCAAAGGGGGGTACACCCTTCCTGCAACACACCTTCTTCACTTCTGACACAAAACACACCACACATGCATAAACGGGCACATATACACTTCGACTTCACTAATGTTGCTTGCCTATCGTACTAGCGTTGTTGTTGTTGCTGCTGCTGACGATGACGATGATGATGGTGTGGTACGGTACTCTCAACCTTTTTTTTCAATGCTTGCAGCATCATCTTCTACTACTGCTGCTCACGAGTTGCAGCATCACGATCATCGGTCGTAGTGATTTAAAAATTTATGCATCTGAGTAAAGAATCGTCGCACTTTTGGGCACTGCTGGACTGAGCCCCAAATTCCAGCACGCTAATTCCAGGAACAACTTACGATACAATATATCATATTTAAGAAATCCCTGGGTCGTCGGCGGGACAGGTCACATCATCCCATGTCGGGGTCTGCCTTCCCCGCCCGAACCGGAAGAGAAAAATCAATCGTAATAAACTTTTCCTCTGTCTATTTTCCGCCGAGCGCACCGTCGTCGTGACACTGCAGCTTCCGGAAAGAAAAACGAACCACTTTTCAATGCAAATTCTTCATCTCACACTCCTCCCTGGTGGGATTTCCTGCAATTTCGAGAGTATAATCTCGTCTTATCCTGTGTCTTCCGTTCGTCGGCGAAACACACCTACATTTTCTGGGCACGTCGCGAAACTCCACTTTTTTCAGTCCGATCTTTTCACCACCAGATTAAATGTTCTCCACCGACTGGGATTTGAATATTACTTGAGCGATACACACTGTGAAATCACATCTTCTTCACCGAAAATCGTAAAAAAAATTAGCTGTACCAGGACACGACACTGACTGTCTTGCATGTGAAAACTGGAAAAACGTCGTCGTCGCTGCTCGCTTGTCAAAGTTGTGCTTTTTTTTTTGCTGCTGCTACTACTGCTGGCAGTGGCCAGAGTTCCCTTCTCTTCTTCCGACGGCCAAGTGTGCGATTCCCCTCTGACCGTGTTTGCTTTCCATGAATACACTATACACTACTGTCAACCGCAGTTCCATCATCAGTATACTCGCTCCGTGCCAGTTCAGCCAGTTCGAGTCGCTCAGGAGAAAATCGAACACTCGCAGTACGTGTCGTCGACCGGCACTCTTCTCTGAGTGGCAACTACTGTTGGGAAACTCGCAATTCATCCCAGAGTGCCTTCGGGCGGTTGAGTTCACACTGAAAGGATTGTCTGAAATAACAAGCGGTAGCTGATGACCTGATCATGTGGCCGGCAAATCTATATTCCACCTGCCGAGACTACTTGGTGTTGTCACTGTCCTAGAGATGTTCCGAACTCTACAGGGGACTACTTTTAGCCTGGAGGTTCTAGACATTAGCTAGACATTACTTCTACTCGGGGGTTGTCTAAACTTAGGTTTTAGAGACTTGCGAACAGGAAAATTTATTGCTGATTTTATCATGGAGCTAAGCTTGTCTCTGGCGTTCTCAGAGCTTTGCTGGAAGATCCTTCGAACTGTGAATCACATGTGAACGTATCGTAGTGTAACATTTCAAATAGACGCAAATGGTTCTCATATTAAAATCATGGATAAATCGTGAACTATTAGAGTTAGAAAATTGCTTCCTTCAGCAAAGTTGCTTCAAATTAGTTGTTCTGCCCTATAGTAGAAAGTAGAAAGTCAGACAGACAAGCTAACAAACACCAGAAGATTACGTCGAAAGGCAAGGCAGCAATGTCTCATTGTTTGCGTTCATGACAACTGAATGTTCGAAACAAATGAAGCTTAGTTCGGTACACAAGAACCCTCGCTGAAGACAACGATACGGATGTTCAGGGACTAGGTTCGTTTGTTCTGCTACGACGATGAAGGAGATCATCTATAGCTAAAGGGTGATACGGTCAAAATTTGGTCAAGGGAAAACGCGTGTAAATCGGTGAAATCGTTTATTTAAAAAATCAAATTAAATTTCTTTTTCAAGTTCAATTAGTATAAAATTCAGGAAAAATATTCAGTTAGGCTTCCGCTTTTCCAAATCCGAATTGCCGGGCCTTACGCTTTACCCCTGCCATCAGATTTTGTACAGCCACCTTGTCCACCTTCTTCGCCGCAGAAAGCCAGTTTGCCTTGAACTGCTGCTCGCCCTTAGCAGTTTTTTTGGTCTTCTTTAGGTTCCGCTTGACAATAGCCCAGTATTTCTCAATTGGGCGGAGCTCTGGCGTGTTGGGAGGGTTATTGTCCTTGGGAACCACCTGCACGTTGTTGGCGGCTTACCACTCCATGGCCTTTTTACCGTAATGGCAAGATGCCAAATCCGGCCAAAACAGTACGGAACAACCGTGTGTACGTGTTTCTTCAGGAAAGGCAGCAGACGTTTATTCAAACACTCTTTCACGTAAATTTCTTGGTTGACAGTTCCGGAAGCTATGAAAATGCTGCTTTTCAAGCCACAGGTACAGATGGCTTGCCAAACTAGATATTTCTTTGCGAACTTTGACAGTTTCATGTGCTTGAAAACATCTGCTACCTTTCCCCTTCCTTTTGTCGTATAAAACTCCTGTCCCGGAAGCTGCTTGTAGTCGGCTTTGACGTAGGTTTCGTCGTCCATTACCACGCAGTCAAACTTCGTCAGCATCGTCGTGTACAGCCTCCGGGATCGCGCTTTGGCCGTCGTATTTTGTTTATCATCGCGATTTGGAGTCACTACCTTCTTGTAAGTCGATAGTCCGGCTCGTTTTTTGGCTCGATGCACGGTTGTAGACGATACACCCAGCTTATTTGCGGCATCTCGGAGAGAGAGGTTAGGGTTTCGCTTGAAACTACCGGCAACTCTCTTTGTCGTCTCAGCGGCTTCCGGTTTTCGATTTCCCCCCGATCCAGACTTCCTGGCTGTCGACAAACGTTCCCCAAACACTTTAATTACATTTGTAACGGTTGATTTGGCAACTTTTAGCGATTTTGCCAACTTTGCGTGCGAGTAGCTCGGATTTTCGCGATGCGCGAGCAAAATTTTGATACGCTGCTCTTCTTGCTTGGACGGCATTTTGACAACTGAAGAGTGAATTCCAAAATCAAAATAGGAGCAACATTCTACACACACACACCTTCAAAATGAGGGGTGTTCAGGTTTTTTAAATGCAAAATTGAAAGAAATACGTCAAGTTGATATTGACCAAATTTTGACCGTATCACCCTTTAAGTGATCTAGGGTAAATGTTGGCTTCGGCACCTATTGACTGTTTTCGGCAACCAAAATTTAAACGTTAATTTCACTATGGTTTCCGATCTACACACTTCCCTGAATGTTTCCAAACGATTATTTAGTCTTTCAGCTTCAATCTGATTATATTTGTACGACCGAGCAATCCTGTAATGCCAGATTTTTCTTCAAATGAAGCATACGCACTAAAAAATGGGGTTGATTTCGAGTTGCCGATAATAGAACAGCTATTTAACACGCAGTTCTAATGGGAAGGTTGCCGAAGAAAAAGAGGCTGCCGACAATAGTCACACTCACCTGAGAAGTTTGGAGCGTTATAAAAACGCTTTCAAACCGTTTTGAAAAATTCTGTCGATTGGAATGGATAGAGAAGCAAGCAGCAGATGAATGTAAACAAACAGACACGTCATATATGTTCGTGACACTGAGAATATGCTAATAGAAGTGCGGACGCTGCTTAGATTGACGAGAATACGTAAATTCCCCTATGTACATTTCTGATTTGGGATCCAATTTGATTACTCTCGGCAGTCTCATCATTGACGAGCTGAAGTCACATTTGAAAATGATATAAATTACCTATTTGAAACAAACTTGTAAATGTCTTCTTCTTCTTCGCATTTCAAGCTTAATGCTTCTCGCAGTTTATCTTATTACGTGCTCTCAACCAGTGGCGTCGCCCTAACCTCAATCTACCTGTTCAACAACTCTCAAAACGTAAACAAACAAAACAATATTGCTTCCAATGGATACAAATCAGTGAAACTAGAAGACCCCATGCCGTTTGAAACTGAATTGAATGTAAACATGACATGATCTCCAGAATGATTTCAGAACCTATAACGCCTTGTTTACATAGAAATAGGTCGGGTACAAACCACATAGACACTTTGAATCTGTTTGGACATATTTCGATACTACAAACATTATTGGAGTCTTGGTTTATATGGTAGAAAAAATCAACTGAACTCCAGGACGATTTGGAGAACCTAGAATATCAGGTGTGCATAGCAATTATTCGCATATATACGATTCGTTTATGATTTGACAACGAAAAATGCTATGTTTACATTGAAAAAAAAAGGAAAATGTCTTACAGGGAGTTTCCGTGTTAATCCGGTGTGACCTATGGAATTGAGATCATTTCTCGATTATTTGCAGGGTTTTTGGTTTGAACCGTTAAAAATTTGAGAGCCAAATTAAGAACAATATTGATGACAGCAAAATAGTCCGGGACGGAAAGGTTACATCCACAATTTTTGTGACAGCACATCAGTCCCACATCAGCGAAATCCACGGCTGTTATAACAGCCCTAAAAAGAAGCTTATATTTATTATAGTTTCCTTCAGAACGACAGAATTTTACCTAACATGGTTTGTTTTCACCAGCGGAGCCAGGTAAATTTCAATGAGACCTAAAGAATCGTATTCTGAAGTACATTTAAAAAAAAATTGGGGAAAAATAATAGGAAATTTCCAAGAAAATTCTAAGCGTTTTTTGAGGATTCCAATGGAATTCTGAAGAGAACGTCGAAGGATTTGTGAGGAGAGTTTTGACTACAGTTTGAAAATGTTTTTTAATCATCGGAACCGGAAGAAAATTTTGAGAATAATTTCAAAGTAATCGAATTCTCAGGATAGCTTCAGAGGGATTTTAAGGATGACACCGTGGAAATTCTTAGGAGAGTTTCAAGGGAATTCCAAAGAGAATTCCTAGAAATGTTATTTGATGATTTATTACGAGAAGAGTTTTCTGGTAGTTTTCAGGAATGCCATTATAATTCTGAACAGAACCTAACGATAATTCTGGGAGTAATTCCGTGTGAATTCTGTTAATAATTACATGGTAATTTTGATTGAATCTTAGAAAAAAATTAGTTGAGTTTCGGTAATTACGCATATTTTTTTTTCCAAAATCCGATGTCTTCCATACCCAAAAAATTAATATTTTTCCCTGTTCACGCACAATATGTTTACAACTTTTTAGCTGGTGAAAACTTCTGGCATTTGTCAACACTCCTTATTTTTCTGAGCCACAACAGAGGTAAAATTAAAATTTAAAAACAATATTTATGACAACGAACGGCAATTTTTGATGAAAATAATAATAATAATAATAAAAAGTTGTCTTTGTTTGGTTATGTAGCAAAAAGAGTAAGTATTTTTGTGTTATAAAGATTTCCTCTTTTTCACTAATTGATTTTGATTTTTACGCTAGGTTTGACCGTATGTTAAAGATTTTGATTTTTCCGGATCTCCCGTCGAATTCCAAGGGTTTTCCCGGTTTTCTCGGCTACCTTTTAAATTTCGGGTTATTTCCCCGTGCGCTGGCCACCCTGGAAGTCCTACTCGATCATAATTAGATGATCATTTAAAAAGAACCTATCTGCATTGATGCATGTTCTTCGTCGACTTTCTTATGTGAGTAAGCAGAATCGCAGCCGGATATCCTTTTTGAAATTTCCGGCATTTTTACCGTTATTCTAGGTCAGTATTTCTTAAAATTCCCGGTTTTACAATTCATGTTTTCATTTGAAACAAGCATTAAACCTGAATAAATCCATCTCCATGATGAGATCCGGCCCTTGCTACTAATAGTCACTCCGACGAAAGTGCGCATATGATGTGATGAGATCGATTCATTCTCTTGAGATTTAATGTATCGCATGATGGATTTTGACCCTAGCCTGAAACTGGCCACTTCTTCGGGTATACCCAGAACTTGTCTGGATGTGGCCAGTGTAGTCCTGGCCACTCTGAATGACTACAACTGAACTGGTTTTTGAATTCTCATATCATTTCACATGATGGGCTTTATTCGTTTCTGGTTGGATTTAGTCTCATGGCCCATACAAACCGTAACATGATTCGGTCATTTCTCCGGAACCAGTTGAAAATATTCAATAGCGTTCTATGGGGCTATGGAATACCTTTAGTTTGGCTGTTGTTGCGTCCAATTCGAATAAGTGGTTGCCGAGAAACATGAG